GGTAATTAAATGGGGTTGCAGTTAAGTACAGCACTTCTTATTAAGAATTCTTGTTGCTTTGCTTCTCTCTCTGACAGCTGTTCAAATGTAGTCCCCGCTTCCCAAGATTTAGAAAGCATCTGTTAACCTCGATAAGGTCCTCATAGAAAGGTAACATCGCATTGAATTTTTTAACGTCATGCTGCATCACCTTCAGCGTCAGTACCTATTCGACGTTACAGTACTCATATATTCATTCATGCATACATACAACCTATATTTAAACACGATTACATGTCCAAACTTTCAGCTTGTGAGGTCGATTACCAACTAAATAAAACAATGATTACAAAAATTCAATATTATAGCTCCACGAGAGCAATGTAAAAGTTTTTAGCCAGCCTTAAACACCTATCAGGATGGAGAGTTATATTACTCTTGGTAAAAAGTAGAATATATATAATGCTGAGAGATCTATCAGCGTTGCTAGCGCTAAGCGTTATGTATTTTTACATATTTTGCCATTAAATTGTATTAAATTTTAAATTTATTATTTTTGGGTCAAACCAATGACCAAAAAAAAAAAGCTAATGGCCTCTTTAAATATTCCGTCCATAGCTTGAAAAGGTGGTGTCTTATTTTTTCATTGCTTTTACAAAAAGCCTGAGATATATTTTAGAATGAGACTGGCAATACATCAATAGCTATCCCTCTAAGCTTCTTTTGCCGGCAAAGAACACTTTATTTTATGACTTGAATTTCCCATATTTGGATAACTTATGATACACTACCTCAAACAGTCTTGCAAAGAAACGAGCACTATAGCCTGCATTTGTGAACTTGAAACACTTCCTGTTGCAAGTTTAAACTTCGAATTTTACTCTTTCAATTGACTTGTTACATATTTAGTACAATGAACGTTTATGGCACAAGAAAAATGTTCAACTTCGAGCTGGAGGGAACGGATATTTGAATAGCGTAAGTATGGTATCTGCATATTAAATTAACCACTTATAGTAGGTACCTTACTTTGAAAAGCATACTAAACGAACAGGACGTGAACAGGATACTTACTTTCGATAGCAATCTTGCTTCCGTTTTGTCTCACAGCACATCGCGCTTGTTGATCTACAGCTTCACAAGTTGTTGCTGACTGATCACCTGGAGAAGGTTCGGGAGTTTGAGGAACCATGACCATTCCAGTTGCAAGTGCCTGAAAAAAAGCCGATTCGGTTTCACTAGTGGACGTTGCCGGTGCGGACTCTTCAACTACCAAATTGATCACCTTGCCACAAATGGGACACTTGACACCATTCACATAGGCCACATCAGTGCCCTTGGTGCAGTTACAGATCTCCCAATTGTCCCCTTCGTGGAACTGTGATGGTTGTTGAGCCGATGGGTCTTCTTGAGGTTTGCTTCCATCTTCAGCAAGCGTGTTGGAGGGCAGATCCTCGGTTTCTCCGCCAACCGCGTATAGTTCTTGTTGTGAGCTTGTTTGTCTCCTATCAGAGACTCCACTTGCATCGTTTGGAACTCCATCTGCCACCTAAAACAGAGCCGACAAACTACTTTTATTGTCTCCTTTCTTTTACAACGGCAAATTAAGTCGGCTTCCGTCTTCGATTTATTTACCATTATCATTCTTCCTACACACCAATAGAAGAGGATATACTGGCAGGAAATTCGACAATGTGATTGGAAATAAAGGTACTTATAATAAGGAAGATTTCGCACAAATGGAAGGCCGACGTTTGCATCTAAGTAACCCCTTGTATTCCGAAGAAGCAGTACGTAGTCGAAAGTGAAAGTGATATGTTTCCGGGGCCTTCTTAGTCCCTGTTCTTGTTTCGCGATTTATATGTCGACTTTGCAAAACTTCCTAACCGCAGTGAAAGACAAACTTAATTGAAAGGAACACCTTCAATTACCGTATTATCATTATGCCTTGTATCGCCTGTATCCATTTTGATTTCTTCGTTGTGTTGAATCTCTGTGACTCTTTCCTCGAAGTGTTTTTACCGTCTATTAAAGACGTCATCGGCTTTTATTAAACAAGGTCGTTTCTCATTGGGTATTGTTTTTCTTTGAAAATATTGATTGGTCCGCAGGTACAAGGGAAAAGCCCCGTGAAAACGAAAGTGGATGATCTTGCAGCGTAGAGTTGGGCAGGATAATTTCAGAAGATATAACGTTAAAGGTGCTACGGTTTTAATGCTTCTTTCGTGAAATTCTCACGTTCTTATCATTGATTTTCTTGGAGCAGCAGTGTTTGGATAGTGACGGATAGACGAATAGTCACAGCTAGACTTATTGGCGTGACCTGAAGTGTGTCACTACCGTCCATATTCAGTGATATCCCCTCTTTGCACCGTCGAAGGAAAAGAAATGAGGATTTTTCAAATAGACAACTGTATTTTCATCTGTTTCTTGGTAAGTAGTTTGTTGTTTGATTTCAGAGGGGAACTGAGTGAAAGTGAGGATATGCCTTACTAAAAGCTCACTTAAAACTGCAGGTTCGTTTATTTGAATGTGAAGATTATATTAGGTCTTCCCACGGTGTCTGACATTTGCAGACTGCAGACTATAGTTTTGTTCCCAGTGAGTTTTAATTAGAGCGTTTTCTTACGAAAGCCTTGTACATTTTCGTGTAACAAAAGAATCTTAGGAAGTTCGAGGCGGCGAAAACCGGAAGTGGCGTTGGATTTTTACGTTTCACCGCTCTGAAACTCTTCTAACCGACTGCAGGCCACTGACACTGACGTCATTGGCTATTTTCCCGCGCTCAGCTGACATCGCCTTGAGCTTGAGATCGTGTTGAACGTGCGTCTTCCATCATTATGTTCATATCCTTTTTTGTCGTGTGAAAATGATGCTACCTTAAGCTAAACGGCTCGTAATCATACCTCAGTATGCCTTCCTTGGCAATCTTCGGGTAAACTTACGAGTTACAGTGGCGGATCTAAAGGAGGGGCCCGGGAGGCCCGACCCCCACCCCCCCCCTAATTTTGGGTAAACAAAGAAGAAATTACAAAAGGAAGAAAAGCCGGCAGGACAAGCAAAATAAAACTGCCCCCGCCCCCCTTGCCCCTTAGCTCAAGGTCCGGATCCGCCACTGAGTTACACTGTCAACACATACCCACATCGTCTTTTACGTGGCCAAAGAGTCATAATTTCAATACGACAAGGATTTGTGTCTGATTAAGCTCTACGGTCTTCAAGATTTGCGGCCAGCGGTCCTCAGTCAACATCTTGTAATCTACGGTCTGAGGTCCACTGTATGCAGTCTGTAATCTGTAGTCTGCAGTCTGCAGTCTGTCTGCAGATCTGCGGTCTGCAGCCTGCAGTCTGCAGTCTGCAAATGTCAGACACCGCTCTTCCCAATGATCTCATTTGCGACGTTATACCCAAGTAGCTGAATATTTCAGTCTGTAAACTGCTTCTACCTTTTCAAAATAATGTCTTACACACTGTAGCCTTTTAGTCACGAGCTGTAACATGTTTTATAGCTTGATTTAAATGATTTTATTTTACAGGTTGATCAAGCTATTGCTGCCCTGGTTTGCCAAGAAGCCCAAATTACCGTGAAATTACCAGATGATAATATCACCTGTGTGAGTTGCCCAAAATGCCCTCCAGGATCAGGTACTACAGCCCTTTGCGGTAGTACAGTGCCATACAATGCCTCCATCGAGTGTAAAGTTTGCATGCC